ATTGCTAATTATACAAAATTATATGTTGAGGTCCTAGAATTAAAATCTTACCCTTTTATTTAAGGGGGAAGAATTGGTGGTTTTATTCTTCTTTGGTAGACTTTCTAACATTCAGTCTTTGTGAAAGAAAAGATCCTTGTAAAACGTATTTGTTTTTATGCTACTTTTAGGATTTATAATTGTTAGTGCTTCTTTGTTTTCTCATCCACGTATTTTAGTAGATGTTATTTTATGTTAATATTACATACCAGGCTATTAATACATTGTTGTAGGCAGAAAGTTTCTCAGCTGCCAAATCCTAAAAACAATGGAAAGAGGTAGTTGCTGTTTCAGTCTTTTGACATTAAATGCCATGATAAACCATTCTTAGGTTTAGCATGGCATTTAAAAATAGCATCCAAATGCATGTGTTTAGAGGTGTACCTATGAGTCCACTGGTGAACCAGTATCTCTTAGTTTCTAGATATTTTGGATATTGTAACATTTCCCTGTCTGCTGTTCTCAGAGTAATGCTCTTCTTGGATCATATCAAGTTGTGGCATCTTACACGATGCTATGAATGATATACTGTACTAACACATTGGAATGGACCCTGTTCTTTCAATTGATATAGTGAACATATCTAGGCACATAGTCATTAGGCTGGGTACCTTCTGCAAGAGGCAAAGTTTAATTTCCCATATCGGAATGAATCTAGCAATCACATCTCTAATAGCAATGTGTGTATAAGGCATGAATGCCCACTGTCCACCACTACCGAACACCCATGCCTTTTGGGGTTCAGAGCTCCCAACACAGCCCATGTGCTATAGCAACAGATACTACAGAACAATCTAATCTCTTGGATACAAATACATTTTATTGGGGTTTTCATAAGACTTTACTGGCAAATTCTCACCACTTCAAATAAGAACAAAACAGATGTATGCATTGGACAGGGGGGTTGACATTGTCAGGAGGATGGATAAATCAAAGTCTAAGTGCCTAGATTTTAAGTATAAAGTATTTCCTTGGGTTATATGCATGATGGTAAATGGTCTGCTTTATTTAAATTGAACAGCCTTGTAAATCTTTTCTCTTTATAGACATATCTTACATGTAAACTCACTGCAGCAACACATCATTCGATCCTGCAAAGACTCAAGAATGCACATACTTTTATTTATGTGAGTAGTCCCTTTGAAGTCAATGGGCTTGCTCAATATGTATACATTTAGGCAGCCTTGGAGTCCAGAATGTATCTTCAGTTTAAACAAAGAAACAAAGCAACAGCAATTCACCTAACCTAAGCCACAGAAAACAATTGCAGTATTATTAGCCTAGATCCATGGGCTGTGTCTACACTGGCATGAATTTCCGGAAATGCTTAAAATGGAATACTATTCCGTTTTTAGTTTTTCCGGAAAAGGAGCGTCTACATTGGCAGGCTGCTTTTCTGGAAAAGCCCTTTTTCTGGAAAAGCATCTGTGGCCAATGTAGACGCGCTTTTCCGGAAAAGAGCCCCGATCGCCATTTTTGTGATCAGGGCTTTTTTCCGGAAAAGACTACTGGGCTGTCTACACTGGCCCTTTTCCGGAACAGTGTTCCGGAATAAGGACTTATGCCCGAGTGGGAGCAGAATAGTTTTTCCGGAATAGTGGCTGATTTTGTACAGTAGAGCATTGTTGCTTTTCCGGAAATTCAAGGGCCAGTGTAGACAGCTCGCAGCTTATTACGGAAAGCGGCTGATTTTCCGGAATAAGTGGCCTAGTGTAGACACAGCCAGGGTGTCCAACATGCTAGCCACTAGCTGGATGTGGCTATTGGCTGGTTGAGTATGGCTATTTGGCTTGAAGAATGTGGCTTTTTGGCTGGTTGAGGGTGTCTAATTTGTTATACTATAGTGTCTACTGCTTCAGAACCGGTTGGACACCATGGGTCTAGATCCATCCCCTCCTGGACTGATACCCAAAAGGAGTTTAGGGGGAGATAAACCTTCATGAGGACATCCTAGTGAAGAGCCCTCCATCACCCACACATCATCCTGTTTGGTTTTGTGCTTTATGAGAAAAAGGTTGTGTGGCCTGCCCCCAAAATTGGAATCCTTGGAGGTCTATGGGAATCCACGGTCATCTGCATGAGATTCTTGTGCCTTTGCACCAGTTTTGGTCTCTGTTGGCCTCATTTCATATGGAAGTGGAGAGATTCACAGGCAAAGGGGAATGCAGAAGTAGGGATTCTGATCTGAACCATGTATCTTCTGAATTAAAATATTAATGTTAATTGTAAACTATCAAGTATACAGAATATGTGTTAGAGCTGAGCTGCTTTTTTGTAGCATGTGGGCATTAACCTTGCTTGATTTCTGAGATCTCACAAGATCTGATACCTGGGAAAAAATTCTAATCCTGGTTCTTTTGATGAGGTAACAACTTGACTGTAGTTACAGCAGGTACAAATTTGACTTTTAGATTCCTTATTTGTAAACTGGGTCTGAAAATACTTACCTTGCTCATATGGCTGTTGTGATGATTAATTAGTGTACAAAGTAGGAATGTTAAATATTGTTGAATAGTCAATTAACCTCATGAATTCTTTACTGGTTACTTGACTATTTTAAAGGCCCTTGGGGTGGGGCCAGTAGCCTGTGCACTCTGGCCCCACTCCCAGGATGTCCCCTGCTACTCTCAGCAACACAGGGTGCCAGGTGGGAGCTCGTCTGCAAGGGGAGCTAGTTTAAAAACCAGCTCCCATCGCAGTCCGGCTGCCTGTCACCCCACACTGCTGCCTCTGAGCTCCCAGACCCGGTGCAAAGCAGAACAGAGTAAGGCTGCCTGGCTGCCTGGTTCCTAATACACTTTAAATGCAGAGCTGCAGCAGGGGGAGGTCTTGGATCCGACATCAGCCAGGACTGAGGTGGGCTGCTGGCCAGCCTAATAAAAATTTACTGGTGGGAGGGAAGGGGAGGAAGTGCATGTAGTCTACAGCATTAACCTATAAGCTTTTGCTTATCGGTTAATTGACTACACCAGGGTGGCCACATGCGGCTCTTCAAAGGAAAAATTGCAGCTCCCGCACCCATGGCTGTTCTGCGTTCCTCTGCTTTGACCTTTTTTCCTTTTCTGGTCAGAGTGCCTTTTGGGGCAGTGAGATCTGACGCTGCGGCTGACAGAAGCCTTTTTGGGCCACATGCAGCTCTTAAAGGGGCAGCTCTTTTTTTTTTCCTCAACAATTTCTTTCCCTCTGCTCTTTGCGCTGTATCAACCACTACTTTGGCTCTTTGTCTGTAATTGGCTGGCCACCCTTGGACTACATTATTACATCTCTAGTACAAAGTGCTACACTATTACATCTCTAGTACAAAGTGCTTTCAAATCTGAAGTGCTACGTGGTGCAAAATATGAAACAACTAGTACTATAATTATGTATTATTTATTTTTATTATTAGTGAACTCTCCAAGGAAAATCCTGTTTTACATATGTTTTCACCCCTAACTGAAACCCTATATTTGGGTTTTTGTCTTGAATGTTTAGTGAAATTCTATTGAAGAAGCTGCAAGAGATGGAAGTTCCAAAAATCAAGATGAACCTGCCAACCACAGTCCTGGTCGTGGAAAGTAACTTGGGGAAAAACAAACAGCATCCCCAGGGAACATACGCTCATCACTAACTTCGCCATCTTCTGGATTTGTGGTGGATCCTGGGCTGAAGAGGCTTTCAGAGGGCCTCTGACCCAGCAATGAAGATTTTAACAATTTACCTGAACAAAAGTTTAAGACTGTTACTCTCAGAGTTTCTGTTTTGGAGGATAAAGTCTCAGCATTAGAGGCTTGTTGTAGTACTTAGTGAAGTTACGAAAGAAAATAAAGAAGTAAAGAACAGGATGGACCTCTTGGAATACATGCAGTGTGCAAGAAATCTAAGTAGAGTTGGTGTTCCTGTGTTCTTTTGGCTTGAAAGATCCTACAGCATCCTTTTCCAAACGGGTGCCTGCAACACTGGGATTGACTTCCCTTGAGATTTTTCTTCTAAAATCAGTGAGATTTTTGATTCTCTTATACCTCTGGGTGCTTGCTGTAAGGATAATTCTCATTACACATTCTACGCCTAACAGAGGAAGTAGGATTTTGAAAGCTTCCTTGACCTTGGGTGAAGTAAGGCGTCAAGGAAAGCAAGCAAGGTTATATTCATAGTGAAGATAACAAATGCTTTTGTGGATGTGAAGAAAAAACTGCACAGCATGGAATAGCACTTTGCCTTACTGTCACCTGCAAAACTGAGGAGTCCCTGTGGCTGCAATAAATGCTTATTTTCACTTGTGGCTGATATTAACCATTTCATCGGTCAGCGTGTGACTGAACTGACAGATTCAGATGCTGTCCATTGAATGTTTAGGGCCATCTTCTGCTCTATCTTAACCAAGTGAAATGTCATTGACATACAGTAGAATTTCACAATACGAGTCAGAACAGAATTTGTCCTTTTAGAATAATTACAGATGTGTGCTATTTATCAGTGGTGTGTTTATGGGTGTCTGAGGGATTAATCTGCCCCATAGGCTTTTTGGCTCTGAAAAATCAGTGAATTGCTTTTAAAGCGTCTCCCTGCAGATTGTTTGGAAGTTTCTATATTGAAGCACAGAGCATGATTCACACATTCATGCTGCCGTGATTTGCTTTCTAGACATCTTTTAGCACCCCAGTGGGTTACATATGGTCTCCAGGTTGACCGTTAGTGGTCTAGATGTGCTGGGCCAAACTACCATGTGAAGATTGTGGATTGTGCTTGTTTTATGTGCTGGGCCAAACTACCATGTGAAGGAGGAGTGGATTGTGCTTGTTTCGGCCACCACCCCTGCAGTCACGGCTGCAGTTTGATTACATGTCACTGCCTATTTGAGATAGAGATGGAATGTCTGTGTCCCAGGATAGTTCCACTAAGTTGTTAAGCTCACATCCAGTTTACTTGGTCTTTTCTTTTCCAGTATTTTGCTCAATGAAGGTCTGCTCTAAAAGAATTTGTCAGAGGAATCATCAAGGTGATGTTTTGAAATAAACAGGCAGATTTAAAGACCTAGATAACAGCACTTCTTTTAACTTTTAAAAGACATTAAAATTGATCAGTGCTGATGTCTTTAAATATGTATGGGAATTACTCTTTTTTTATGGGTGATATACTGAAGTGCTGTTATGCTTTGATTACCAAGGGATTCCTGTGGGTAGGATAAAATAATCTCATTACATTCAATTCCTTTATCTGTTTTCATGTACATAAAAACACAGCCATTTATTTAACCTAACCACATAGCTCCAACATTTTATTTTTCTGGTATATAAAATAAGCTTGTATAAGGGGCTAGAATGTGTTGGACTATATATATATGCTATAGATATAAATATGATTGTGTTCTGAGTGCGGCAGTATTTTTTCTCTGAGTTTTCACAGAGAAGGGTTTTGTGTAGCACTTAATATTACTTGTTTAACTGCTTATACAGCACCTTGAGGCAAACAGATAAATCTAATTTGTACATTATGAGTAATGCTGTAAATTCTACAAATCTACCTGCAGCTATAACAGTTTGCATTTTAAACAGACAAGTACTATGTCTTCATGTGAAAGGATGGTCTTGTGGGTGGGAAGTATAAAGATTCAGGAGATCTAGGTTCAGTTCATGACTCTGCTAGTGACTTTCTGTGCATTCTTGGGCACATCACGAAATTTTTCTATGCTTCAGTTCCATGTCCAATCAGTGTAATACAGGTGGCACCTCCCTAAACTGGGACTCTCTCTGGCAACATCTGTGATCTGGCAGGACCATGGATGTTGATGAACAAGAGAGCCCCTCGGCAGGAGGGCCAGCAGCTGAGAGCCTCGTGAAAGGTGAGGCTGGTGGTAGTGGGGCCCCGGCCTCAGCAGCCCGGCAGCGGTAGCAGGGCCATAGTAGTGGGGCAGGGGCAGCCTGGCATCCCAGATGGGGCTGGAGCAGTGCATACGTGCTGGCCTGATAGCGGGGCTGTGCCACAGCAGCCTGAGCGGGGGCTGCGTGCCAGCCTGGCAGTGAGAACAGAGCTATGGGAGTCTGGCTGGCAGTAAGGCCAGGCTGCAGCAGCTTAGCAGAGGAAGCCTTAGCAGAGGGACCACGGCAGCTGAGCTGGGACCATGACAACCGAGCCAGGGCTGCAGCAGGTCGGCAGTCTGATGGGGGCTGTGTACTGGCTGGCAGTGGGGCTGGTGCCGTGGCAGTGTGGCCAGTGCTGCGTGCTACTGTGCCAGCAGTTGGGCTAGAGCAGAAGTTATGGCAGAGGGGAAGGGGTGGCAGGCTGAGGGGGCCAGTAGCAGGGCACTTTCCCTGGTCTGGCAAATTCCCTCATCTGGGGCAGCTCAGGTCCTGAGGGTGCCGGTGTAATGCCATCCCTCCTAATTTGCAACCCCTGGACCAGATAGCAAGTACTGAGCAGTAGCCCAGAAGGTCATGTTTGCCTGGCGGAAACCGCAATTAGCAGCAAAAAAGGAGGGTTTCTTTTTCTGTCGTTACACCTGTAACCTGACCAGTGAGGTCAAACCTGTATTATTTCTCTGCTTTATATTTCTCAATGACTATTAAATGCACAAATACTTCAGTAATGGGCATTGTACAACTACATAGAAAGTCTGTAGCCTGTAATTAGATTTGGTCCAATTAAAAACACATTGACACACTTTGAGCTTTATATTATTGTCAATAATTCACAAACAAATGCTAACATTATACGAACAAATTTCATGCTATGGAATAACTTAAAAACATCTGAAGTTGGTTGTGCCCACAAAAGCTCGTGATACCATCAACAGTTTTTGTTAGTCTCTCAGGTGCTGCAGAACTATTAGTTGTTTTTTAAGTTATTCCAGTTACTAAATACAGCGGCTATCCCTCTGAAACTTTTGGACATGCTATGGGTTGTTTGCAAATTATCCACTGTCCCTTTTTCTTGGAGAATTTCTGGCTGTGAATTCAGTTCTTAGATGTTACAATAATACAAATAAATAATAATAATCTATGATAATAGAATTAAATTATTAGTTTCTGTTACCACATTACTCAAGATTTAGAACTAGTAGTAATCCTACTTTCTTACATTTTTATTCAGCGATTGGAAGAGAAACAGTTTCTCTTCTGTCCCCCACCCTCCAAAACTCCCAATCAGTAACTTAACGTGGAATTAGCGGTAGTCATTGTACTGACCTAGATGTATAAACTTAAACAAATAAAAATTATTGTCTGTTCCTTCAGAAAAGCAACCGTAATCAAAAGTTAGTGTAGCACTTCAACAGCTCTGGTTCCAGGTGCTTAGCCAGTGTCTTCCAGTGGTTTGAATATCGTTAAAACTTTGGCAGAAAACATATATTGCTTAATGTTAGTTTTAGTCTAATTTCAAGTATTTTGATAGATTATAGTAACTTTAGATCTCAAAATTTGTCCCGTTTTTAAAAAGAAAAGTGTAACTAAGAAATTAATTTTAAATCCGTTTTTATTCACCTGGCAGTAATTCTGCTTTGTGTAGCCCTGATGCAGCCACATATGGACAATTGCATGCAGTTAAGGGTGGTATAAGAAGACAAGAAATGGTATAAAACTGGTAACCGATAGTGAACCACGACAAAGAGATATGGTATGAAGAGACACCAGAGGTAACAGTATTAAAGAGAAGACAGAGGATTTATGATAATAGATTATATCCTTTCAAGATAATGGTATGAAATAAGGGAATTATTCCCACTCTTGGAAGATGGAAGAACAAAGTGCAATGGCCTGAAGGAAAATGTTAGTGAAAGATGGAAGAACAAAGTGCAATGGCCTGAAGCTAAAGAAGGAAAATGTTAGTCGTTAGAAATGGGTTCTTAACAATCAGAGCAATTGGGCAGTGAAACAGATAGTTGAATAACCGTCACTGCAGATGTAATGTTAATGAGAATAATGCAGTTCAGTTTTTTTGCAGAGTGCAGTTGGTCAGGTTAGATGGCCTATGTGGCCTCTTCCATCTGTCTACATGTGAACTTACAAATGCCACTTCAACCAAGGCTCAGTGCATCATCCTTATTATATGCTCCCTCAGCAGTTGGTCATATTTGGAAATCATCTTGGAATCAGTCCTACTCTCAGAAGCAGAATTCCCAGTGACTTCAGTAGTGATTTCTCTTTGTGTTTTCTATTTACACATTTTTTTTAATCTTAGACTACTTGTGTTTTCTATTTACACATTTTTTTTTTTAAATCTTAGACTATATCTAGACTGAAGGCTTTTTTCAGAAGAAGCTTTTCCAGAAGAGATCTTCCGAAAAAAATTCTTCTGAAAGAGATCGTTCACACTGCCAAAGTGCATCGAAAAAGCGTTCTGCTTTTTCGAAAGATAGCATCTCGCATTTACGCTGTGATTATTATGGACGGAGTGGCTACCAGGGCACCTGTGTTTTTTCTGCTTTCCTCTTCTTTCAAAAGAACTCCCTCTTCCCTGTCCACATATGTCTTTTTCTGAAAAACCTCTTTCGGAAAAAGGCTTCTTCCTCATAGAAAGAGGATTACTGCTGCCAGAAAAACTCCTCTGTTCCTTCGATTTTTTTTCAAACCAGAAAAACTCCTCTGTTCCTTCGATTTTTTTTTAAAAAAAAAATGTGATTGCGGTGTGGACATAAGTGAAGTTTTTTCAGAAAAATAGCCATTTTTCTGAAAAAGCTCTGTAGCGTAGACATAGCCTTAGAGAGATAATTTGCCCAGTAGTGCTTAGAAATGACTGAATAGTAACAGCTAGTCTCTCCTCTGGATTTTCCAGTATATCCTGTCTTCTTTCTCTGCTTTTGGTAAACTCTCTGGTGACAGGGTTTCCGTGTTTTATACAACACCAGGTGCATTGTTAGTGCTTATCTATAGAGCCCTACAAATCTGTGGATATGCACTTTCTATCCATGAATGTTAATGTTGCGGAGGCTCATTTTTGCGGATACAAATTTTGTATTTGTTCAGGGCTCTACTTCTTTATACAATAAAATGGATTATATAGAGAGCAAGATATTAGAGATGTAGCAAAACTAATATTTAATTGACGTGCTGTATACTAAAGACTGCTCGTGGCATAATATTAGTTATTTCAGAAAAAATACCATTATTTTTTGTCCTATAAATGTTATACTTTATAACAGTTAGGTATGTTTCTCAACTTATTTTTCATAACCAGATATGCAACTGTAATGTGTATTCTTTTATAAATGGCATTTTAATTATATTGGCATTACTGTAATTTACTACTAGACTTCACTGATAATGGAAACTGTCTGTTTAACTACAGAATAGGCACATCACAAGCAGTGACATTGCATACTTCCCCATACCGTACTACTGTACTTTCTATAAGAACCCCTACCAGGTGTGTAGGGTAGTGCATTGCCGCTCAGTCTTCCGGCGCCTTGCTGAGAAGGATGGCAGTTAGTGTCCATTGGATGCTAGTGTTATTAATCTGATGTGGTGACATTTTGGTGGTGCCCATGACCAAATCACCAACATCAGTGAATTAAGCCTCACAAGTCTCTTGTGTCTAGATAGGGAACTGAGCAACGGACATCCCTGAAGGTGTGTTGGTTCTGAGGGAACAGGGTCTTGGTGCTAGCCTGGGGTGAAAGGTGGTCCCTTTCTGCTGCATCACTGCTGTTCAAATCTCTTCAGGTTGATATTGGAGCAGCTGCTGGCACAAACTCCTTAGGGAGCAGGCCTGGGAAGCTGAATGAAGAAATGGGTCTTTCTACAATGCCCCAAGTTGCAATGGATGCCCTGAAATGTGTGATGCTACCCTGCCAATCACAGGGTATCTGTGAATGTTGAGGACCATGCCCAGTGCCTGCTTGTGAGGTGGTCAGAGGAAACTCAGACTTAATCCCCTATGTTGCCACCATGTTAAGAAACCTTGCTGTACACAGCCAACAGCTTGATTTTTGCTGCTGAAACATTTAACAAACATAAAACCAAAACACAGTAGCATTTTGACAGGCGTGAGGCAAAGGTGGGAGCAAGGTGAGAGACACTGCGGTCAGAAAGTCAGTTTGCTGTGGCTAAAGCCTAAGATCTGGGTCTGTGAAAGAATTTTGGGGTAGATTTTGGGAGATGCTAGGAGGAAAACAGTATTACTGGGGGTGGGCAAGCATCTAAACTTCCTTAGTCATGAAAGCAAGCTGCAAATTTTGCAATTACCGATGTTTACCTGGAATTTGCATTAATTTCTGAGCTTGAATGGGTCACAAGAATAACTTGGTCAACAATAATTACTTTTCTAACCCAGGTTCTGAATTTCTGCTTCCTTTGTATGCCTGAAATCAGGAAGCACACAAACACACACAGTATTTTTTAAAAAGCTACTGAAACATTTTGACTCTAAAAAACCATTCATTTTAGAAGAGGGATGTTGTTACAAATTAGGGTGAAGATTCAGATTTTAGTAGCACCAGTTTGTTCATCGTTTGTATGAATCAGATGTACAGTACAGGAAACATTTGCCCATCCCTTTTCTGAATCAAATATAGAGAATAGGAAACATTCTGAGGTCCTCACTCCACTGTTAGTCAACTCCAGTCAACTTGTTGGTACATTTGGATTCTTCTCTCAGTGCAGCCTGAGGTGAGCTCTTTGGGATACAGACTCTATCTTCCCATGTGTGGACACATTGCCCTGGTCTACACTAGGGCTTTATTTCAAAATAACTCCCCCCTTCCAGGTCAAATTTGTAAGCAGAGTGTCCCTACTACCAAGCCCGTTATTTCGAAATCTGTATTCCGGCTTTTCTTGGGGAATAATGCTAATTTTGAAATAGTTGTTTCAAAATAGCAGTAGTGTGGATGCTCCAGTGCTGCTATTTTGAAATAACTACTCCCCAGAGTAATTCGAACTAATTACTCCCCAGTGCTTCCTGGGGCTCTAGGTTGAGGTAGCGTCTCCACATTAACAGAGCCTGCCTCGGACTAATTTCGAGGCTTCCTTGTAGTGAGGACATGTTATTTTGATTTTGTAAAATCAGGAGTTATTAAGTTAAATTTAGTTATTTCGAAATAGTTTCCTAGTGTAGACATGGCTACAGCAGGCTCTGTGTGAATTAACATGTGGTAGATAGGGATGTGAAAGGTTAACTGGTAAACATCTTTGTGGGGGCTGTTTGTGACAGTCCTGGGCATCCTGCAGGCAAGGGGGCTGCAGGCAGAGGCTGCTCGGGCTGGTCTGGAGGAACCCCTGCCTGCAGCGGGAGGGGCTCTGCTCCAGCGCATCAGTGGATGGGGCAGCCCCTCTGCCCACCCCCCTTTTAATCAGCCAATTAAACAGAATTATATCCCTAGTGGTAGATACTGTGTTGTTGTATCAGTTGTGTAACCATAAGGTAAATCCTAGATAGGATGCACTGGGTGTAGTTTGCAAGTTTAAATTACATTCCTGTTCATGGTTAAATATGCCTGCTGCTGCTTAAAGCCCTTATCTTTGTGTATGGAAAATTTTCAAGGACACTTTAACAGAGTTCAAATCTTCAGCCCTAGCTGTTGTGTGAGGCAGAAGAATATAAGGCTTCCACACAGTTTCCTTTTATGCATTAAAGTGCATTTCTTCTCTGAAAAGTGACTGCAAAAAATGTCACATTTTAATTCTACAGATTTACTCCCACTGCATTATGCTGGTAAAATGCACAGAAGGCATAGGGGTGAGAAATCTACCACCCACACACAGCCTGGGGCCAGGTTGCTGTGCAGTGTGTTGGAATAGCAATCTGCCTGCCTGTGCGTGTGTACTATTATGCATGTAACACCTGTAGTGTGTGCATGGTATTAGGGGCCTCTCTGCACTTGTGTCACCTTCAGCGAGTGAGCTTAATTGTATTCATTGTTAGCAGATTTCAGTTACAGGGCAGAATTTGCCATTCCATTACACCCGTGCCATTGTAGCAGCAGCAACAAAGTCACGTGCCAGTTGCTGTTGCAGGAAACTTGCCAGTTGCTATATCACCATTTTTGAAGAGCAGGGTGGCACCTACATAGTCACAGAGGGTATGTCTACACTACCCTCCTAGTTCGAACTAGGAGGGTAATGTATGCATACCGCACTTGCTAATGAAGCCCGGGAAATTCAAATCCCGGGCTTCATTAGCAAGTGCGGTATGCATACATTACCCTCCTAGTTCGAACTAGGAGGGTAATGTATGCATACCGCACTTGCTAATGAAGCCCGGGAAATTCAAATCCCGGGCTTCATTAGCAAGTGCGGTATGCATACATTACCCTCCTAGTTCGAACTAGGAGGGTAATGTATGCATACCGCACTTGCTAATGAAGCCCGGGATTTGAATTTCCCGGGCTTCATTAGCATAAGCGGGGAGCCGCCATTTTTAAATCCCCGCTGCTTCGAACCCCGTGTAGCGCGGCTACACGGGGCTCGAACTAGGTAGTTCGGACTAGGGTGCCTAGTCCGAACTACCGGTACTCCTCGTTTCACGAGGAGTAACGGTAGGTCGGAATAGGACCCTAGTCCGAACTACCTAGTTCGAGCCCCGTGTAGCCGCGCTACACGGGGTTCGAAGCAGCGGGGATTTAAAAATGGCGGCTCCCCGCTTATGCTAATGAAGCCCGGGAAATTCAAATCCCGGGCTTCATTAGCAAGTGCGGTATGCATACATTACCCTCCTAGTTCGAACTAGGAGGGTAATGTATGCATACCGCACTTGCTAATGAAGCCCGGGATTTGAATTTCCCGGGCTTCATTAGCATAAGCGGGGAGCCGCCATTTTTAAATCCCCGCTGCTTCGAACCCCGTGTAGCGCGGCTACACGGGGCTCGAACTAGGTAGTTCGGACTAGGGTGCCTAGTCCGAACTACCGGTACTCCTCGTTTCACGAGGAGTAACGGTAGGTCGGAATAGGACCCTAGTCCGAACTACCTAGTTCGAGCCCCGTGTAGCCGCGCTACACGGGGTTCGAAGCAGCGGGGATTTAAAAATGGCGGCTCCCCGCTTATGCTAATGAAGCCCGGGAAATTCAAATCCCGGGCTTCATTAGCAAGTGCGGTATGCATACATTACCCCGCTAGTTCGAACTAGCGGAGTAGTGTAGACATACCCAGATATATTGCCCACATCCAACTCCACCACAAATCTCCTGTTGCACAGGACACCTCCCAGGTGAGGTGCAGACCTCTTTGACATTCCCCAAATCCCTTCTTTCCACAAGCAGTAAACTGCCTCAGTGCCAGTGGGTTCAAGGTCCTCGTGGGGAGAGGATTCCTGAACTTGCTCAAATGTGAGTATCCAAAATTGCATGAGCAGCTGTTTGGCTGCTTGGGTTTAAAGGCTCCATTCCAAGGTCTCTAATATGTAGTCCAATATGTTTTCTTTTTTTTTTCCAGAACGACTCCTGAGTCTTTACTTTGGATGGCTAGTTGTGGTAAGTTAGGTCCTAGAAATCCATATGCCTGCCCAAAGTTTTGCTTCCCAAATTCATCCCTTAATTGTAGATTTCACAGTTACTATGAATATTTTCATACTAGAAGGGAAATATTTCTCTCAGCACTTGACATTTTAAAAATATGTGTTGTGTTTACACTTTCCTTTATGAGATAATTAGATGTAACAGTATTGCATTCTCTTTCAACCTGAATTCCACAGACTGCATTATCAGTAGTAGAATTGCACTGGAATGTACATGGTATCAGAACAATAGCTCCATTATGATCTACTAACATGCTAATCTAGTTTGAGTTAAAAAGAAAGCTTGTATATGCAGCACACTGAAATAGCTGAATTGGAGTTGAATTAGTTTCTGTAATACTGTACCAATAACTGTGATCCATTTTTTTCCTTTAAAGTCACTGAATTCCAAAGTATATCTATTGCCATTTCTAATTAGTACAGATTTTCAGTATATGACTTATTTTTACATGCATTGCTTAGCTATCACTTTTAAAAATAGCCCGTTCAAGAATATTCCCTCCCCCCCCAAACATTGAGGACAATTGTTATGATATACTAGTACCACCCTATTTATGTTTAGGAAATTTATTGCAAATACAGTAATTCCTCATTTAACACTATAGATGTGTTTCTAAAAATGTTCGTGCTAAGTGAAAACGTGCTAAGCGGGGTCACTTTTCCCATTAAAAATAATGGAAAAGGTGGGGGTTGCGTTTCAGGTGGTGATGGCAAAGTCAATTTTTTGTTGTGCTGGGTCGTCAACGACAACATTAGATATCTAGCAACACAAGATAACTAGCAACACAAGTCACTGCGAATTGTTAAAACAAAGATAAACACATGAATGAGAGGAGGAGTGTTGTGACCACGTGTATGCATCTGCTCATGCATATTAGAACTGTTTTCACCAACTTACACCGCCGCACAAAGTAGTCCACCACTTGATCATTTTTGTGTTATTTCGGGGACAGTCGTGTTACTCGAAAGACTTTCCCTAAAAAAAAATCGTGCTATTGCAAAAATGTGTTAAGGGGACACGTGTTAAACAAGTAATTACTGTACATGGATCTGTGGGTCCTGATCACTGGGGAATCAGAGCACATCATAATTTTTAATGCATTTATCCTATCCTCTAAGGTAGGAAAATGCTATCATTCAGGTTTCACAGCTGGGGAACTGACTGACTTGCCCAAGGTCATCTGTAGCAGAGCAAGGTTTTACACCTGGATCTCTTTCTGCTGAATTACTGCCGTTCAAATCTCTTCAGGTTAAAATTGGGGCAGCTGCTGGCACAAACTCCTTAAGGCAGGCAAGGGAAGCTGAGTAAAGAAATGAGCCTTTCTACAGTGTGACAGGTTGCAATGGATTCACTGAAATTTTTGATGCTTCCCCGCCAATCACAGGGTATCTGTGAGTGTTGAGGACCAAGCTCAGTACCTGCTTGTGAGGTGGTCAGAGGAAATTCAGACTTAATCCCCCATGTAATTTTTCCCCCCAAATCTATGTTACAACCATGTTAAGAAACCTTGCTGTACACAGTCAACAGCTTAATTTTTGCTGCTGATACAAAAAGCAAAACACGCAAGCCAAAACCCCAGACTGGTCAAAATTTTCAAAGCTAGGTACTTAGTTAGGCTTCACATTTCTTAATTACCATTCCCAGGAAAAGTGTCCTGTGGTTCACAATGAAGGCTAACTAGGTTTAGGAAGCTAACACTTTGACAAATGTGTCCATATTCCCTATCCACCCTGATAGTAACTCAGCTCGCTACAACTCTGTTCACAATTGTCTGTCATACTATTTTTCCAGGCTCATGCTTGACAACTGAACGTAGCTAGCAAGCAGGGTTCTGCTCCAAGTTTGGTCAAGGCTTAAGTGGCTGAAGGCTTTCTTCTTTGGGAAGCTTCAGTTATTTGCCAAAGGAATGTTCATCATCATCATGGCTTGACTTCGCGAACGAAGATTTAGGAAGGGGTTTGTCCACGTCTGATGCAAGCTCGCTGGTGACTGACGAGTCCAATGCGGGACAGGCAGATTCGGCCACAGTGGCAGCAAGGGAAATTCTGTTCTGAGTTTAGTGCTGCAGTGTCACGATTCTTCCTCCATGTCCTTTTGTCCTCAAGACCAGCCCTATGTGTATTCTTGAAGGAGGAGACAGCCTGGTGAATGGTGCGTCTCCAGGCCTCTCATTCCGAGGCTAAAGCAGACCAATGGCAGTGGTCAATATGACAGACGCCAAGGGATTTCTTCAGAGAGTCCTTGTACCTCTTCTTCGGTGCTCCTCTGTCACAGTGGCCAATGGCGAGTTCGCCATACAGCACAATCTTGGGCAGGCGATGATCCTCCATCCTACAGATGTGCCCTGCCCAACGCAGCTGTGTCTTCAATAGGATGGCCTCGATGCTGGTAACCTCCGCCTGTTCGAGGACTTCAATGTTGGTGATGAAGTCATTCCAGTGGATGTTAAGGATGGTGCGGAGGCAGCGTTGATGGAAGCACTCAAGGAGACACAGGTGATGCCGGTAGGTGACCCATGACTCAGAACTGTACAAGAGGCTACTCAGTACAACAGCTCTGTACACACCAATCTTCGTGCCTTTCTTCAAATGCTTGTTGTTCCAGACTCTTTTATACAGCCTACTGAATGCACAGTTTGCTGTTGCCAGTCTGTTATCAATCTCTTTATCGACCTTGGCATCCGAGGAGATGATACACCCCAAGTAGCTGAACTGATGAACTGTCTTCAGCTCTGACTCGCCAATGGTGATGCAGGGAGGGCGGTAATCTTCCCGAGGCGCGGGCTGATAAAGAACTTCCGTTTTCTTCAAGCTGATTTCTAGTCCAAAGAGTTCGGTAGCCTCTGCAAAGCAGGATGTTATGCGCTGCAGCGCTGTCACCGTGTGAGAAACAAGGGCAGCATCGTCAGCGAAGAGTAATTCTCGGATGAGTTGCCGCACTGTCTTAGTATGGGCCTTTAGTCGCCTCAGGTTGAACAGACTGTCATCAGTACGGTATCGGATATAGACACCGTCACCGTCTTCATCATCAAGTTCTACTGCGGCTCTTTGGAAGATCGTGAAGAGAGTCAGCGTGAGGACACAGCCTTGCTTTACACCGTTGCATATTGAGAAGGGCTCTGAGAAGTCAGTGACATGTCTGACTTGGCCCGCTGGTCTTTATGTAGCTGGATAATCATGTTGAGGAACTTTGGGGAACACCCTACTCACTCCATGATTAGCCACAGACTTTTTCTGCTCACAGTGTCGAACGCTTTGGTAAGGTCGACAAAAGTCATGTACAATCCCTTGTTCTGTTTTCTATATTTCTCTTGTAGCTGTCTAAGAACGAATACCATATCGATGGTGCTCCTATTAGCTCTGAAGCCACATTGGCTCTCTGGAAGGAGTTCTTCTACAATGGTGGGCACCAATCTGTTGAGAAGTACTCTTGCAAGAATTTTTCCCGCGACAGAGAGCAGAGTTATCCCCCTTGTTATCCCAGAGTCTGACTTATCCCCCTTGTTTTTGTACAGAGTGACGATGACTGAGTCATGGAGGTCCTGTGGTAGTTTGCCTTGTTCCCAGCAACAGACAAAGAGCTCGTGGAGTTTGGCGTGCAGCGCTGGGCCCCCATTCTTCCAATCCTCTGGTGGAATTCCATCAACTCCTGCTGCCTTGCCACTTTCAGCTGTTTAATGGCCTTGACAGTCTCCTCTAGAGTAGGAATCTCATCCAGGTCTATTTTCTCTGGCAGTTGTGGGATATGATGGATTGCTGAGTCTTGGATCATGCGGTTAGTGCTAAAGAGAGTCTGGAAATGTTCTGACCACCGGTTCAGGACAGACACCTTGTCTGTGAAGAGCACTTGGCCATCTGCAGAGCGCAAGGGACTCTTGATGTAATGCGAAGGGCCGTACACCGCCTTCAGGGCTTCATAAAACCCTCTGTAATCACCGGTATCTGCGCAAAGCTGAGTTTTCTCTGCAAGTTTGGTCCACCATTCATTTTGAATCTCCCGAAGCTTGCACTGGAGATTGCTACATACAAGGTGGAAGGCTGCCTTCTTATCAGGACAGGACGGCTGAGCAAGATGCACTTGATGGGCGGATCTCTTCCTCGTCAGCAATTCTTGAATTTCCTGATTGTTTTCATCAAACCAGTCTTTGTTCTTCTTAGAGGAAAACCCTAGGACATCTTCAGAGGTCTGCAAGATGGTGGTTTTGAGGTGTTTCCAAAGAGCTTCTGAAGAGGGGTTTGCGGGACAGCTGGGATCCTCAAGCCTCGATTGAAGATTCGCCTGGAAGTTAGCTTTCACTTCAATTGATTGGAGTTTGCCAACATGGAACTTCTTCCTTGGGGCGCTTTCCCTTTTTGGCTTGGCTTTGAAATGGAGACGGAGTTTACAGCGCACAAGGCGATGGTCCATATGACACTCTGCAGTGGGCATTACTCGGGTGAGTAAAACATCTTGAAGATCTCTCTGGTGCACCAAGATATAGTCTATGAGATGCCAATACTTAGACCGAGGGTGCATCCAGGTTGTCTTCAGGCTGTCTTTCTGTTGGAACATGGTGTTGGTGATGGCAAGTTGCTGCTCCGCACAGAATTCTAACAGGAGGCACCCATTGTCATTACAGTTTCTGACACCATGCTTGCCAGCACTCCTTTCCAGGCTTTTGAATCTTTGCCTACTCGGGCATTGAAGTCACCAAGGACGATGACCTTGTTGTCTACAGAAGCGTTCTGGATGAGGTTGCGCCGATCACTATAGAACTTGTCCTTTTCTGCTGGATCCGTTTGAAGAGTTGGGGCATACACGCTGAACAGTGTGGCATGCTGCTTGTTTCTAAGTGGGAGGCGCATGGAGATGATGCGATCTGAGTGGCCCATTGGCAAGTTTGGATGCAATGGAGTTCCTGACCATAAAGCCAATGCCAGAAAGGCGTTTATCAGACTCTGGCTTGCCTGACCAGTAGAGGATGTAACCTGCACCATGTTATTGAAGGCTGCCTTCCTCGGAGAGGTGGACTTCACTAAGAGCAGCAAAGTCGACATTCAGTCTTGAAAGTTCGTGGGCAACTAGAGCGGAGCGCCGTTCTGAGCGATCACTATCTGTTGTATCAATCATGGTTCAAATGTTCCAGCAAGCAAGCTTCAGTCTTGTCACACCTTGTGAGGCAGGTGTGTACCTTATCTTTCTCTTTGTAGTTTAACCGCTTTTGAAGATGCCCGTTGACCGCGGCTAACCAACTGGGGGAAATGAAAACGAGCTTTGGTTGGGCCACCTTTTCTAGGCCCCTCTCCGTCTGGAGCAAGCCGTGCTATCCCTAGAGAAGGCTGCTTGGTCGTTCAGGATACTGCCGAATTATGTCGTCGTTTCCAGGGTCAACATCAGATGACCCTTACACCTGAACCTCCTGCATGCAAGATCGGAACTGCGGCTTCCAGTGTCATCTTCCACCTGCCATTTTGCCCCTTTCCCATTGCTGCAGGGCTTGATGATGGTGTTGTTGTCGCTCGTAGACATGGGTGTGCCCTTCGAACCTGCGCAATGGAGTTTTTAGGTGGAGTGCAGTGTGCACAGTACTGGTCCCACCCTTTACACCTGGGGTTCATCTGCCATGGCCTAGCAAGCAGGGACAATGACAGCGAGGTCCCTGGGTCGTAGGTGTTATGTCGGAGTGTCCTTCTCCTAGATGAGTGGCCTGACAGGGCTAACGAGCTCCATCTGCCCGGGTTTGAAATCAGAGTTTTCCTTCTCTTAGGCTGGCTGCCACCAAGGCTAACAAGCCCAACCTGCTCTGTACACACCAATCGTCGTGCCTTTCATCAAATGCTTGTTGTTCCAGACTCTTTTATACAGCCAAAGGAATGTTAGTAAGAGGAGAAATAATCAAGCTGTCATTTTGTTAGCTGATTACAATTTTACAGTAAACTTTAAAGATGGTTAGTGGTTAACTTTAAAAACGTTTTTCAGTAAACTTTAAAGGAGGCTATCGATGGCTCCAGACTATTATTTAAACAACAAACTTGTAAGTATCAGTAACTTTGAATTTTTGTCTAGGAGTACAGCAATTACAGTGGGTCGTACCATTCTCATCAAATGATATAATATCAACTATGTAGTTTGATCAGGAGATGGAGCAGCTAGAATGACTCCATCTTTGAAGGGGATACTTCTAGTTATTACTTTGTAATATCTTTTTCTTCATTGTTTATAGTATTTTCTGAGAGTTTACATCCCCATATTAATTATATTTTTTTGCAATTGGAAAACATTATTTCCTGTGTTTCAGTGGAGCTCAGAAACAAATATGCAAATGAGACTTATGTTACAGGCAGTCCCCGGGTTATGTACAAGATAGGGACTGTAGGTTTGTTCTTAAGTTGAATCTGTATGTAAGTCGGAACTGGCGTCCAGATTCAGCCGCTGCTGAAACTGATCAGTTTCAACAGCGGCTGAATCAATTGGAAAACATTATTTCCTGTGTTTCAGTGGAGCTCAGAAACAAATATGCAAATGAGACTTATGTTACAGGCAGTCCCCGGGTTATGTACAAGATAGGGACTGTAGGTTTGTTCTTAAGTTGAATCTGTATGTAAGTCGGAACTGGCGTCCAGATTCAGCCGCTGCTGAAACTGATCAGTTTCAACAGCGGCTGAATC